GAGCCTTGCCCTTCTTGGCATCCTGGAAAAAGAAGCCAAGGCAAACGCGACGATCCAACTCGTTGCATCCTGTGCCATGCTCTAGCTACGTCCTTGGAGCCCGCTGACAATGGCCGCGTGCGTGTCCATGGCTCGTTCGCCTCGGCTGCCAGCTCCTGGATGGCCTGACGCGACATAGCGCTTTTTGATTGAAGCGCATGACGTTCGACGGCCTTCTGAGCATAAGCCTCACTTTCCAAGATGACGTTGCAGGAGGAATCGTCCAACCATTCCACCTGGGCAAGCTGCAACATTAGTACACCCCTAGCAAATTTTGAGTGTCCCACTAGGATGGGTTTAATGTTGACTTCAAACTCATCCCCCAGTTTACAAAATAGAGGGTGTCCCTGGGTTTAGTGGGGCTTCAGACCAATTTTGGAGGGGACACACCCCTTGAGTAGGACAGGTCCTACTTCGATCAGGGGGCAACACTATCCATCTCGATTTTGGCGCCTGCTGCGGCTTCCACTCTGCAAAAATTTCAAGCACCTGGGCTTGAGTCCGGTCCCGGACTCGAGAAGTCTTCCCTCGTTCCGGCCTCTTTGTTCGCGAGGAAGTCAACACCATAGCAGTGCAAGACTTCTGGCCTGGCAAGTGAAGTCCTTCCTCCGACACATCAATGTGTATATATATACATAACATACTTAGATGCATGTGCGTGCGTACGTATGTGTATAATACATATGTACATATATATATATATATATATATACATATATATATATATATATATGTATTGTGTGTGTATGTGTATATATATATGTATGTATAGTGTGTATGTATATATATATACATAAATATCACGTATACACGTCTATGGTAGCAAACCCAAATTGTGAAACAGGCATCTGTGAATTGGCATGTCAATACTTGCTTGAGAACCCCTTGAACATTCAAACAATGTGATGGAAGAAAACTCAAAGCATTCCAAATTGCAGGATTGCGGAAATTCCCCTAAGGAAATGTCCTAATCCGGGATTTGTGCGCAACGATTTGCGCATTGAAGAGTTCCCTTTGAAGTGTTAAATTTATTGCATCTTTGATGTCCCGGCCATTAGATTTCCAGATGCAGAGATTGATGCTGCAAACTGCAACTGGTTCATCCTGTGCGTCTATGGGCAACACACAACACGTACCAGAAAAGTGCAGAAACTTGAAGACCTCGAATGGAAGGGTTTGAGGCACACGTCAACTCACAGTTGCTCATTTTGCAGGTGTATTCATACATGCCATACGACATTGCTGTGCATGCCTGTTGCCACAGCCTTTGAACTGTGTGTGTGTGTGTGATCCATCACACACACGGAGTGGCAAGCATGACACTGACACTACAGCAGCACAAAGTCTGGTGAAGCACTTGGCATTTAGATGGCTGTCTCTTCTTTCAAGGAACCCTTTTGCAGGTTGGCTTAAAACAAAAGCAAAGGGAAGGCCACCATTTGGGGGGTCCGCCTATTTAGCACACATCCAAATCCTGGCAGTTTGTTGTCCACACGCACTTCCACGTGAAAATATTGCTTGTGCAGTGGGGCAACCAGCGGTGAATGGTCCAAATGCAAGCTCTCACAGCAGAGAATGGGATATCGACATTTAATTCACATCTCAACAATAGCCCACTGCCTTCCACAGGAAGCAAAATTCATCTTGCAACAATCCCCCGAAGTTTACTAGAAAATTGAGCCAAAAGGGGGCACACGTGGGGAGTAGCATATCTTTTCACTGTGAAAAAGCCTGGAAACATGCGCTGCCAATGGAAGAACTCCTATAGAGGCGCGTTGTACCCGTCAAATCGGCTCGCAATGTGCCAATGGCCTCGAAGGCGCCAGCGGATTGTGTTCTCTGCGTGGACAAATATGGGCGTCCTTGTGTGTCGTTTGGCAAACGGCACATCTCTCACTCATATCTCGCATGCCCTCGGCCTCCATAGCCATCGCAAGACCATCCATGGCTGCAAGCAATCTAGGCTTCTCTGTGCTGTTTGTCTGTCAAGTCTGGGTTCTTGTGAGTTGGTGGGCACCTGACTCGTGGTGTCGCGTGAATGGAAGGTCTGCTAAAAAGTCTGGATTGTGTCAAGTTATTTTGTCGTCGTCTTCCAGGACGGTAAGGCAAGCGCCGTTGGTTGGGTTTCTATGAAGTCTGTACAAAATGCATTTGCTATCTTCTCTTGAGATTGCAAAGGTTCCGTGCACACCGACAACAGCGAACAAGGGTTGCAGCTACACCTGTCAAAGAGTCGACGTGAATACCAGGCAGACCCGTTCCGCCTCCTTTTTATCTTAATGACGTCAGCTCCGCAGGTTACTATTCGAATCCGGAAGAGGCGGTATCAAGCATGCTACGTAGGAGCCCTGAGCTACTCATCAGGTTCCAAAGGCTCCTCCGTGAGTGCTGGCACTTTGTCGGTCAGCGCCGAGTCCGCGCGGTCGAAGAGCTTCAGAGCCCTCCGAGCGGCATCCCTGACCACCTGGGTGTGTCGAAATTGAGGCGCCGCGAAAAAACATGCGTGACTTGCCTTTTGGCTCCGTGTAAATCAAGCAAAACACACACACACACACACACCCGCCTGCTCAGGGTCTTCCTCGAGCTGTTGCACCTCTTCCCTGAAGCTTGAGCCACGGGTGCCCATGCGCGCAAGCGCCTCACAGGCAGCCACCTGCACCTCAGGCCGGATGCCCTGGTAGGTCATGCGGCACACGTCTGGCGCGAACATCTGGCCCAGCTCCCCGCACTTGGCCACTGCGCGGATGGCCTCCGCTTGCACGTTCCACGCCCTGTCCCCGAAGAGAGACACGAAGGTCTCGATGTGCGCGTGAGCCTCGTCCCCCATCTTGCCGAGGCTCTGGACCGCGCGAGCCCGGACTGTTGGATGCGGATGCTCCAGCAGCTCAGCCACCGCTCGTGCCGTGGAGCTGTTGCCTGTGGTGGCTGCAGCAACCTCCCCCACCGCCAGGCACGCAGCTGCTGCCACCGGAGGCACCTCGTCTCGCAGCAGATCCACCACGTGGTACTCGTAGCGCGCGCACGCCGCAGGCATCCGGCTGAGCGCGTGCAGCGCTGCCACGCGCACCTCCCAGTCCTTGGAGTTGAGGCACTCCACCAGCCGCGGCGCCGAGGCCGCCCCGGCGCTGCCCAGGTTAGCCAAGGCGGTGGCGGCCGCGCAAGCGGGCTTTCGCAGCAGCGCCTCAAGGCTATAGTGCTACAGTATTCCGCCGATTCAATCAACTGTTTAACTCAAAGCTTGGAAGGTGAGAGCTCAGGTGGTTTGGTCGACTGGTATGTTTGGCAGTCCCGCCTGGAGCTTGGGTGCAATGCCGGCCACAGTCAGCGGCAGCGTGTCCGCGTCCTCCGCCTCGTTCCGCAGCGCCTGCTCCAGCGCGGGACTCTGCGAGGCTGCCGCCTCCCCAATGCCACCCAGCGCAGCCGCAGCCGCCGCCACCACGCCGGGCTCAGGGTCCTCCAGGAACTTCCCAATGGACCCCACCAGGTTGGAGGCCTTGCCTCCCAGACGGCACGCGAAATCCGCGGCCCCCAATCTCACGTAGCTGTCCTGATCCTTCAGAAGGGACACCACGTCAGAGGAGAAGGTCTCGCACCCCGACATGCACTTCAGTGAGTTCACCGCAGCAGCACGGATTCGTGCATTGGAGTGCTTCAGCAGTGCCCCGACTGCTTGTGCTTGGCAGTCCATCTCGGACAGACTCATGCATGCAGCAAACACGACATCGGCATCAGGACTCTTGAGCTTTGCAGCGACATCGTCGGCTGCCTGCGTCGCCTTCATTTTGCCGAGTGCGGTGCAGGCATCCACAACGCGATCCAGGTCCTGATGATCCAGAAGCGCCTGTGCCGATGCTGCATCTTTCATAGCGTCAGGCCCCATACTGCCCAGAGCCAGAAGAGCTTTTGCAGTGATGCCTACTTGAAAGCGTAGACGTTGTGCGCGCTGTGGATTGCAAGGAGCTTTGAGAGGCGTTGGGTTGCTGCTTGCTTTTGGAAGCTGCGCTTGCAAGAAATCCTTCTGTTCCAAGCAAGGTTGAGAAAGGGATGAAACTGTGTTGAAACAGGGTCGACGCTTCTTTGCCGTCTTTGCCTTCTATGTCGCCCGGATGCGAAACCCTAAGAAGCACAGCGGCCTTTTACATGCAAATCACCAATCTGTACAATTACGTCTTCTGCACCCCAAGATAGAAGATACCCCCTAGCAAACGGCAAGGCCACGCTTGCTTTGTACAGTTACAATCTGGGCCAAACGGAGTGCCATGCACTATGCCCCAGCCATAGCCTTTTTGTTCGGCCTTGCCAATTCTACCAGGTCAATCGTCCTGGTTTCTTCATAGCTCTGTTTGGCCTCCTTATATTCGGCCAACTTCTTCTGGTATTCTTCCTCGTATGGCTGCTTCTCTTCCTCCGTGAGGCTACGCCACCTCTCGCCTGCTGCCTCGCATGCAAGATGAAAGGGCAGTGAGCTTGGCACCCATAAACAGCACGCGCCACGCGCGGTGTATCATCGCAACACCATATGTGGCATCTGCAAAAATGAACTTGGCGCATAGTATCGCAACAGGGGCAGGCCTTCCCAACGTCAGTCATCTTGTGCCCTTCAGGCAAGCTCTTCGCTATCTCTTCCCGCTCAGCTGCAAGGAAGCAGCCATAGGCGCCACCCGCCGGTCGTCGAGGCTTGTCCTGTGACACGTGGCATCATGTATGCGCTGATTGTGGCTCGTGTGTTGGAACTTTAGACACGTGACTCCTCCTTTGCTTCAGCCGGACGCTTTCTGGTCACCACACCTCCCTGCGCCTGGCCCACCAGCATCTTTCGCCAAGAAACTTTTAAAGCGGGTCTGGCCTTGAAGAGGCTCATTCTCTTGTCCTCAGTGCGCATGCATCACAAGCCTTCTTTTGCGCACCTGCGAGAAGTTCCAAGGCCGTCACGTACTCAGACTTCAAAGATCTGGCTTGAACTTCGAACTCCTGTTTCTCTCCTTCGCTCATTGCCTTCCACAGCTCTCCAGCCTGCACGTATGTCCACATGGGACGGGTGTGTCAATTCTTTGAGGGTGGCCTTGAGGTTGAACGAGCCATCAAGAAAACCACCATTCTGAGATGGCCATGGGTCAAAATCCCGTACCCCGAGTGAACATCCCAATCCCCACTAAAATAGACAAAAATGGGTGGTGCACTTACCCCAAAACGGTACCATTGGTTTTGACCCACAGCCAGATCCTTTTTGAGATGCACTCCTTCTTGGAGACCTCCGAGGCTTTTTTGGTGCCCAGGCCCTTGGCGATCTCTTCACGACTCGCAGTCAGCCACAAGAAGTAGGCGGAAGCGGGTCTTCGAGGCCTTAGTCAGAGCCTCCATGACTCAAACGGGTGGGTATACTTTTTGGAAGGAGTGGAAAACCAAACTGAAAGTTTTGACACACACACACATGAAGTTCCGTCGAAATTTGTTGTTCACAGTAAGTACGTTTGAATTTAGAGAGTCCCCTATCGTTTTCCAGCGTGTAGCACAAAGGTATTGTTTTTTTGAGAGTCCCCCTATCGAATTCCATGGTTTCAAGCACCTTGAGCTATATGGATGTCCAAGTGTAGACTACTTTCCTTTTCCGTAAATTCTGACCGCGCTTCACATGCTGGGGCCCAGACTGCTCGTTCGCCATCAGGGCACGAAAAGTTGGCCAAATCAGGCAATTGGATTCAGTTTGGGTTTCCTTTGATGTTGATCGGGATCCAGTGCACTGTTTGATCCCATCTAGCCTAACCATAGCTTGAGGCACTGCCAAAGCTCAGAGAGTCCACTCTGAAAAGCAGGAGAGCAGTGAAAACACACTACTGCACAAGCGCACACATAGCTTCTCATGTTTCGCCGCGTGAAGAAGGTGCACAGCGTTCATTCACAAGAGAGGATCAGCTTCTGGACCTTTGGCCTCCATCCTACACGAGGCAATCGTCCTTCAAATGCCGATTCAGGCTTGATCACTTCGATCAGAACTTGCCATTATGCGCATCTTTGGTTTTCCTTGCAACCCCTCTCAAAATGATCCAAGCGCGAAGCAAAAATTGAAATGTGGGCGTGTCTTTTTAAGGGGACACCCCACATTGCCTGCGGTTTGCCTTTCGGTTTCCTTCATAAGCACCAAAAACATGGAACCTCAAAAGAAAGGACACGCCCAAATGTCCCTCGGGACAACTGTACTCTGACGTGGCCGACGTCGAGCTCAGCCATCCCTTGGCTGCAACGCTTTGCCCGACCGACTCGCATGCCACTTCAGGGCAGAAACTCTGCGCCAGGAAGATTAGCGCGAAATTCAGTTCACAACGGGTACATGGGATAAATCACACCAAACCGCCCAACAGTGTTTCCTGGATGTTGCGTTCAAGCGCGCTTGATTGGTCCAAGTGGCAAGAGGGGCCTCCTGACCTGCGGCAACTTGGAGCTGCGGCAGCTCATCACCATGAAAACCACCTGGAAATGTAAAGCTTCGCAGGTGCCACGGTTTGTCTCAAACTAGCGGAACCCGCATGCATGGCGTCCCTTGATTTTCCTTTAAACCAAGTCCAATTGGGCTACCCTCAAACAAACACACCCCGAAGTAGCCGTGTTTGGAGCGGATCTTCACATGTCGCTCTCTTGTAGCGGGCACCGACAAAAAGGACCCATTGTAACCATCTTGAACTTGAACCAGCCCCCCAAAAATGATATCCTCGAAAAAGGACAGACCCATTTGTTTGCGCCACTTGGGCTCGGCGTCGCACTTTTTCTTGGCCGAGCCGCAAAGCCGGTGGCCAGTGACTGGAGCAGCAACAGCAGCGGCAAGTGCCACCAACCTAAAGTGAAGATGTGGCTGTGGGTCAGAAAAATAAACAAACATGGCCACGGGTCAAAACCCCGTGCCCCCCAGTGAACGTCCCAATCCCCACTAAAATAGACTAAAATGGAGGTGCACCTGCCCCAAAATGGTACCATTGGTCTTGACCCTCAGCCATATGGCACCTTGGTAATGGAGCCAAAGACTAAAACCTGCGGTTTGCCCTAGCTCGCCATTTTTTGATCCACACCCATGTGTCTTTCAAAAGGGGACCCCCAAAAAAGTGGTGGCTCGAGTTGCGGTTGGCCTTTAGGTTTCCACTTAAAACCCGACCAAACAGGGTACCCTCAAAACAAGGAAAAGAGCCACTCACATGGGTGTGTCTTAAAGGGGACCTCCAAAAAATGTTCCACCCCTGCAAAAGAACGAAAGGAACCCAAAAAGCGGGTGATACCCAAAAGGAGCTTCCTCTATGGGTGTTTAATCAGGGAAGTAGTTTCCTGTTGGTTTCCCTTTCAAACCGCTACTCTCAAAAAACGCCAGATGCGTAGTGTGACCTTTCTCCGCCCCACCCGAAAAGGATGGCATAAACACATCACAGCGGCCCTGGACTGAAGCATTCAGAGTGAGGGGTGGCGCTGGCCTGCTGAATCTCGGCGCGAACGCAAACATGGCTTCCTGCCAGGCAGAGAAGACACAAGTGGCTGTGAGTCAAAAACATGGTACCCAAAAATAGGTTGCCCTGGTACATGGAAACATGGACTAAAACCCGCGGTCCCCTGGTGGTTTAATTTTGACCCATACCCAAGTCACAATTGATGCATGCACGCGCTATCACAGGGGCAGGTCCTGCTGCAAAATCTCTCTGATTGCTTGGAAGTTGGGGCTGCCTGCTCCGCTGACTGCGTCCCAGCCCCGGGCTGCACTGAATCCAACAGGGCAACAAGCACTTCGGAAGCAGCGGTTGTCTCCCATCTGAACGTCATTGAAGGCACTGGGATGATTCTTGAGGATGTTATAGATGACAGGATTGATGAAGCCCAGGGGCGGCAGGTTATTCTGCAGGCGGTCTTCGTTCCATCGAGCCACCATCGACGCGATGAGTGGCGTTGACGCTGACGTGCCGCTCATCGCTTGCAGGTCGCTGCCCATGAGCACCAAATAGTTGCTGGACAGCCCAGCCAGATCCGGATACGCACGGCCAGAGCTGTTGTAAATCAGGTCCTTTTGGGAGGGCAGGGGCTTGTCTGTCTGACCCACATATTGATGCACTGCCGCCTCCTGATACCACGGCCGCGGGAAGTCATTGGAGAAGCCGCCGCCTGTGGTGATTCCGCCACCCCTGTCCGAGGTACAAGCTACCTCCCCATCTGAAGGGCACGAAACAATCACAGTGTCAGATGAATAGCCGCAGACAGGCACATTTGCTTGAGCAAGCTGAGTGCCTCCAACCGAAGTGACCCATGGCGAAGACGATGGGAACCCCTCCCGCGCCACTCCACAATACTTTGCACCATACTTCGAAACAATGGCGCCGCTGACGCCGTCATCACCACTCGCCACCAACACTGTAATCCCTCGCAAAGCCAACTTCATGAACTCGTCATTGACACGGCGCTTGAACCAGAATGGCATGGCATAAGCATCGTCGCTATACGAAACAGAATGGACTAAAGGGATCTGGTCATCAGGCGTATCTTCCAACTGCATCAGCCATTCCAGAAAGGGCTCCTGTCGAGTTGCCAGCTCAATGGAGGGAACACTCCAGAAAATAGTGGACACGTTGGAGGCCAAAGCTGTGATGTACTGAATGTCCAGCTGCGCTTCCCCTCCAAGAACGGAGCCGGCCATTGGAAGATTTGCCCCGATGATTTGGAGCTTGTCCCTTGTTTCCCACAGCTGAACCCCCATCAACTTAAAGAAAGCTACCAAGTCGTCTGGGTTGTAGTACTGACCGAGAAACTCAGCAACAGAGACCGTGTTCCGAGGATGCCGCACCGGCTCGCGCATTGGGATGCCGTAGTTGCGGGACAGCAGTTCAGGGGTCGAGTAAGCCATGGGGAAGACCTGCATCACTTCCCCGGCGTCGCTGAAGTCTGAGACGGAGCCATCGCTAAAGAGTGACCGGATCCTTACGATGGTCCCTGCATAGTTTTGGATGCTGCTCAGTGTCGAGTTAAACCTTAGTGGAGCAATAGACCGGAAAAAAGATGGCTTACCTGTTGGAACCTTCACTATACATCGACCAAATCATGGAAAGGTTAAAAGGTCTTTGGGCTGAGAAACTCCATACATGGCTTGCCATCTTTCGTCTTGCGCAGCCTTTGGCCAAGCGTGTCCGGGACTGCAGGCACTCGCACGAGCTTCTGCAAATTTGTCTCCGTCTGAAGAACCAAAATATCAAAGGCAGTGATAAGTATTGAATGGAGACTATTTTTGCAAATTCCAGTTTCAAGGGCATCTTCATTCACCAGCTCATCCTTGCAATATGCAACAAAGCGAAGGCTGATGAACTGGTCGCCGGCAATCATTTGAGGTCGCACGCGCGGCGCTGTTCGCCCAGAGCTGCTATAGTGAAAGGCATGCTCCTGCGGCTGCTCCGGATGGGGAGGCATGAACAATGGGGCATTCAAGGAGGTTCCTTCCAGAGCGCTTTGCACATGCGCTGGTAGGCTCACTGGCGTTGCTGCACGTACAGGCGTAGACCCAGGCGACACCTTCCCCGCTTGAATCCTGAGGCTGGTGTTAAATACTCTCTCCACGCATGAGATACTGCAGCTGTATCTGGCAAAGTCCTTGCCGAAAGAGAACTTGAAGTTACCCTCAGGCTGCCTAGCGAAGAAGTCCTCCACTATGGCGGCATCATATGCAGAAGAGCCCCCGATTCCGTAGAGCTCGTCTCGTTGCAGGTGTCTGCCATATTCCTTGCTTTCTGGATCCGAGACAGCCTTGGCGGTTTTCTCCAGAAGCTTCAGGTTCCTTTGCTTGAGGGCCAGCAGCACCACAATGCCTTGGCGAGAACAAGCCGGGCAAAGGTGGAGTCCGATCAAAGCACTCGGGTGTCCGTTCAAAATGGATGCAAGTCAAAATGGGGGGACCTAAGAATTACGCCTCTTGACCTGGATGCTCAAGTTCAGTGCCTGGTGGCTGATGTCTTCACGGGGCCGGTCTCCATGCTGCCATCCAGGCTGTGAAAACGCATTCCAGCGATCATCGAAGGCCGCACACTGCACACCCAAAACTGCCTCAGCACTGAGAATGCCGTGACTGCTTGGCTGGGACTGTGACTCACTGTTGTGAATGCCGTCACGCACAGTGCCGCGCGTGAGTGGCATGATCAATCATAAGCAGATAGATAGAGGTGAAAGCTATCAATCCTATTGCCAGTGATTCCAGTGATCCGCGAAAGTGTTCCACAATTTACATCGGCAAAGGCTTCGGCGCGATTTGGCTATGGGCTGAAGCCCCCTCAGGTCTAAAGGTCCAGAGGCATAATAACAACTACCATCCAAGTTTACATGCCTGCGATGCTCTTCTCCCTTCTGACAGAATGTCCGACATCAAGACTCAAACTTTGAAAAGAGACTGCCACAGAACAACATAAGCCAACTCATCAAGGCACCAGCACCGTCTGCCATGCCCAATTCATGGCTCGGCTCGATCTAAAGTCTTGAATCAAAGTTCGTGCAAGTCATCTTGATCATGGACTCATGCTGCCCAGATTGCAACATTTGCAAAGACGCTTCAAGTGCAGTGTCTTGCGTGAGGAGGACGCATCTAGTAAGCTACTTGGCACATCCACTTTGTGGACCCTCCGAGCTTTGGTGCCAGTGAAAAACACCGCAGCTTTGCTGCTGACTGAGTCATGCAAATGCAAAAATCGGCAAAAGAAGAGGGCGTGTGACCCCGCCGCCAACGTTTTCAAGCTGACGCTAGCATGAATGAGGCTTGCAGCGAAGCCGCCGAGCCTAGCAGTGCAACTACAGACTCAATCACAGCAAGTGCGTGCTCCACGCCGTGGAGAGAGCAGTCACTTTCCCTTCGATGGGGACAATGATTACCTCCAACCAAATGGCCTGACTGGGTCAGCATCGACAGACTCATCATAAATCAAGCATCTGCAAGAAGGAGGATTCGGATTTTGGGCTTGCAATGCTGTGCAATAGGAAAATGTTGCCCAGTGTGGGGGATGTTTTGGCGGTGCCCGATGGCGACGGAAAGTTAGGACGCCTTACGGTTCACTTCCAGTGAACACTCTCCGTGGGACGTGGCGACCAAGACCTCTTTGAATGTGAACATTGCCATTTACATCGTCAATGCACTCGCATCAAATGAGGCCCGGTGTCACATTGAACGGCACTGTGCTGCTCTGGAAATTTGGAGTCTTGGCCTCAGCCTCGGCATTCCTCAACGCCGGACTCAAAATCGGAGCTTCTTATGAAGCCAATTCCCACTTACAGACTCAGAGCTCATCGCGAGGCAAGCTCTCAGCGGGCTCTGTCCATGAGAATTTGACCTGTACAACATGAACAGAGCAATGAAGAGCAGTGTGCACACAGCGTAACATTAACTCAGTATCTTTAGTCTAGAGTCTACATGCGAGCTTTCAAGTCAGCGCAAGGCCACCCATCGCAATTACATCGAATCATGTTCATAGCCTTGTGCCATCAACATGTCCGGCCTGTGATGAACGCACAGGTCTGTAGTAGTCAGGAGCAGATTGAGGCTTGAAGGACTCTTGGTATGTGGTCCTGCGCTGCTCTCCCCTGCAGCTGAACACACTAGTGTTCTTCGGAGGGAGCCCTTGGCATTGCTTTAAAGGCAGGGGAACTCACCCTTTTTCCTTAGACACAAACCCACCAGTCCTGACAGCGTAGCTGCCTGACCGCGGTCCCAAGCTGTCCTGCCAGAAACGTCTCCCAATCCGGGCGTGGCGGTTCTGTGCATCTCAACTCATGGTTTCTTGATATGGGTGTGCATTTTGTTGTTGATACCCCGCTCGGATGTGATTTCAAGGGAAACCAAACGGAACCACCTGTGGGTTCCCCAATTTCGAGCCACGCCCATATCTGCGAAGTGGGGGGGGGGGGGGCTGCATGCAGCCTGCGAAGTTGTTCCGTGGTTTCGCCCTGGGAACCCCGGATCGGCAAGCCCATCCTAATAGAAAGGGGAAAGGGAACCCATTATGACTCCTGGGAAAGGGGAATCCTTTAGGGTTTAGGGTTTGGGGTAAACCCCTGTCATTCCCACCAGAAAGGGGAAACTTGTCTGGGAATCCACTACGCTTCATCCCAGAGGGGTTGCCCATTGAGCTAGAAGGAACCCTGGAGTGGCAGGGTCAATTCGAGGCCGTCTTTTGAATCCTGACAAAGTTTTGTCCGACTCCATTTGCAAAATCAATGCTTGCACAAATCGGAAAGGTAAAGAACAAATACCTCACGGTTCCTGCTCACAAGTCGTTGAACGACTTGCGTGGTGGGCCGACATGCCTCATGTGGTGAGTTTGCGCCTTTTCTCTTCCCCACGACTTTTCTTGAGCGTTGCAAACTCAAGCGTCTTGCAATTGGGAAAGGCAAAACACACAGTCAGCTGTCACCAGCTGTCCTTTGCCTTCTGTCGGGTAGTGTCTATCCTGTCAACCGGAAGTTTCTCGTGGCAGTGGTGGGATGCTGACCTGACAGCGGAAGCTGTCACGCGATTGCAGACAAACTGTGTGGCAAGTTCATTCAAGTGACATATCGCACAGGTCCCTATGAAACGTCGTTTTCTTGCCTCGTTTCGGAGCTCTTTTTGGAACCAAAGCCCAAAGAATCTTCCGACCTGGCCAGGTAGGGCAAAGCAGGTCTGGGAGTGTCGCCAACCAAAATGGCCTGCCCTGCTCGGGCACCGTGGCCCGTTGGCGCCTGAGACACGCGCCGCAGGTGAAACATGTTCAATAGTTCATTGTCTAAATGTCATTTACTCCATTGATTACTCCATCAGCATTGTTTAATAGTCCATGGTTTACTCCATTGTCTAAACAGACTCCTTTTGGCTTCCCTTTCATAGGGTACCAGTTTGTAGCTGCCAATTTGCCCAAGCGAGTCTCCAAGCCGCCCACGCTCGCCGAAGATCGCGCTTGCTCAGGCCGGAAAACGCCTGCACAGTTGCCACAAAACAATGAATGCCTGTATGCGCACCTTTGCGTTCACTTGCTGACTTGGACAATCAGGCCTCCGAGTACGAGCTGTTGCCGAGGGGGATCGGCAGGGAAGGTTTTGTAGACCTGTGCAATCAGAAACATTCATGATGATCACCTAGCCGACTTCTTGACAGGCCTGTTGCCGTCTCTGAAGGACTTGGCGAGCTGCCGATTCATACCTCCAAAAGTTGCGACAACTGAAACACTTTGATACAATGATGTGGTGCACTGGCTCCAAGGCTGGCATTCTCCCGAAAATCTTGGAAGCTGCAGGTGTACTCGCAAAGGCTGCGGCAATGCCTCCAGTTCGTGCACAGATCACTACACTTGCGCTCGTACGGCTATAGGCAAAGGAACTGGGTACTGTCTCAGAGCGCGGCAGCGGAGCTCTGCTAAGCTGAACCCCAGCATACTGCGTTCCTCGACGCATTGGCGTAGCACAGCCAACCGGACTGCATCACAGAGCCCGCGGCGTCTCTCCCCGATGCGATGAATGTCGCTCCAAGACTCGGTCTTGCCTGGCGAGCTCTGCAAGCGGCGAACCAAAATGCACCTTCGCCCCGTCCTCTCAAGCCACCCTTCGGCGTAAATGACGTTCGGCCTAGGTGCAGGCTGAAAATACCAAGTCCAGGCACCTCGAAGCTACGTATGTCCCACAACCCACAGCAAGATACACCCACGCTCTGCCTTGAATGGTTGTCTCCACTTGTTTTGCTTTCCGAGTGCATATAGGGCACCAACTCGTGCTTGCTAGAAGCAGCTTGCGGTCTTCTGCTGGCAGCGACTGGACCTGGGGATGCAGCTGGGATTCGCGAAACGCTGCGCGAAACGCCTTGGGCAGGTGCTGCTGCAGTCGGGGTCAGGCCGAATGATGCATTCTTCGGGTTTGCCATCCAGAATGCTGACCTTGCTAGTCCATTGCTGAGCTCGACTAGTGGCAAGGCTGAGGTGTCAAGAGCGAATGCAAGACCAAGAAGACCTGGGCATAGCTAGGCGAGTGGAAAGTATTGTGTGCTTGTTTGTGCATGTAAGTATTGCCTTTGTTCCTGCAAAACCAAATAACAGCAGCTTGAAAACTGGTCGTGCATCATGACTCCATGACACAATCTACGAATCATGCACAACTTACCAGGCTCACATGTTTTGTCCTTCCTAAAGAGTCGCTCCAGCCTTCATACGAGAGAGGTTGAGGCGACCCGTCTGTGGAATGCGTGGCGCGTTGCTAAAGCAGTCGCCACCGCAAACACCCCTTTCAAAGAGCTTCGCTCAGCGGGGTAGAAGCAATCGTTGGAACAGCAAGAAGCAGAAGCTTCTTGCACCTGAATTCTGCTCGTATGCTCATGCAAAGTATTGCAAATCCTAAAGCTTTTGCATTCAGTTTCCACCTCTTGACCACTTTGGCGGGCGGAATGAGGCGATTGAATTATTTGGCTTCCTCTCTATAAATGTCCGCTGGAAAGGCGGCTCAGCCATTCAAATGGACACGGATGTCTGTTCATCGACATTTGTGCAGATGATGGTGTACTTTGTCTCCTGGCACACTACGAAAGATACAAAGCCATCCACAAAATTACAACAAACCTCAGCCAACCAGCAAGCCAAGCATCACAAAGCCGATTCAAATAACGGAATAGGCAACTCGGGTCTTGCCTCTGGCTGCGTGTCTTTTGCCTCTTGGGCTCGCTTTGCCTGAGGTCGTCTGCACAAGACTGGAACACGAAGACTCGGGCAGTTGTGCTTGCATTTCATACACCCGTGCCACCGCCAGACTGTGCACGCGAGATATGTGGCGACAGTGGCAGCTGTGATCGTGGCCATGAATGGTTACGTTGCATGTGCATACGACAGTGGCGTGTCAAGTGCGGCTTGCTCCGGCATGTGAATCAGGTGAGTCACAACTTTAGAAACTGGTATTGCAGGGGTCGAGCCAAACCCATGTAAAGAATCAAAAGGGCGGCTGAAACTGTTTCTTCTGGGAGCTAAACTTGACCCGTGTTTTCATGAGTGTGTGACCGCACAAGGCAATGATTGTGAAGATGAGTGGCAGGAATGCAAGAAAAGAATGTCTTTACCGCTCGCCTCTTCTTCTGCTTTCTCGATCTTCCTCTGTTGCCGAGCTTCTTTCTTCTCTTTCATCTTCTCGTCCCTGGCAGTGGCACAGATGCTGCTTACGACTTGACTCACGACTTCAGTCCTATGCACTGGATGCAAAAAGCTGTCTTGGAGCGGGGCTTCACTCGCTTCAGATCTCGAGGATAAGTGAAATGAAGCAGAGAGTATGCCGTCCTGCCACTCTATTCATTCAGAAAGCTACGCGCTGCAAAAAGAAAGAAAGACTGGCGCCGACTTGCCGGAAGTTCTCGCAGAGTTTGCTTTCGGCAACGCCTTTCCACTCGCTACCCCGTCCAGCAAATGATCCAAGGCATGAAGCAGGTGAAGGTGAGAGCCTGTCATCTTAACTTCGGCAAGCCCAGATGTGCGACGCTGCCAAGGCCTTTCCCAGCGCTCGCCGGCTTTCAGGGTCCGAAGTCGCATGATCGGATTCCTCAAGCCTAGCAGCACTCAAGTGCTGTATTGTCATCGTCACTGTCGGAAATCTGGAGGCACAGGCTTGTATCCAAAGACGTTTTCCGCCAGGAATCCGACCTTCGAAGAGATTCGCTCTCTCATAAGCAAACCTCAGAGATAGGTGAGGCTTCTGCCATGGCGTTGCCCAGGATGGCAGCAAAGGTGCTTTCAAGCGCAGATTCCCAGGCCATGATTGTCGCTCTCCCCTCAGGACGAACCTTGGTGCAACCGCCTAAAAGTTGCAAACTCCAAATGGTGATAGTGAATCAAGGCGTCAATCAGCCAATCTTGGCTTGCAGCAATTTCAGTCAGAATGGGCAAGTTGACGCCAACACCGCCTTGAGCTCGCGCGCTGTTTTTTCACAATGCCAGAAACGATTTGCCACCATGTGAGCACTTGGTTGTCGCTTCACCAGAAATCGCCCGCATGATGCCGAGGCCCAAACACCAGGTTGCGGTGAGGCCTAGGAAGGTCACAAGCCTCAGTTGCAACTCAGAGGGTCAGGGCTGACAATCACTTCTTCACTGGAATCCTGGCGCGAAGTAGTAGAAAAATGCCACCTCGCCTGGTCATCTGCACCGCAGACTCATGGTCAGCCCTCAACAGAGCCTTCAGGAGGGTCGACCATAAAGGTGAGGTAGGCCACAGGGATGCCAGCCCTGACAAGCAGGGTAGGTACCCGGAGAGGGACAGGAGTCATGCTTTCTTGTTCCATGACTTGTTTTGGAGACAACTCGTCAGCCAAAACTTGTGCACAGGATTGGGTGTTGGGTGCTCCCTTGATGTGATGCTCTCCCTATCGTGCAAGGCTCAGCTTCGCACATCACAGAGATCTGCGCTGTGAAGGGGCGTCCATGCAAAGGGCACCAGCGCGCCAAGCGATCCCCAATCAGTCCTGCTCAGCACTTCTGGATGTATGGGCCACGTTCGCCAATATTCTGGGAAACCATGCCCCCCTTGTCGCAATACACCTATACGGCCATGGGTCAAAATCCCATACCCCCTCCCGTGAACATCCCAATCCCCACTAAAATGGACTGAAATGGGTGGTGCACCTACCCCAAAATGGGATCCCATTGGTTTTGACCCACAGCCATATATCCCCGTGCCTTTTGCTTGTCCCAAATGTTACCGCCAACGTTTCACCACCAGCGCGGTACCCGAAGCACACTTTGGCAGCCCCAGCTCGAACATTTCGAGTTTCGAGTTCCTAGAAGGTCACATGTGGGTTGGAATCTGTGGGCCACGTTTATTTGATTGAGCAGATCTAGCAGATCTACCATGTGTTGATGGCCGAGAAGTAATCGGATGCTTCGACATCCAGTCCTTTCCACCTTGCGCTCTTGCTTCACGCTGCTACGCATCTGCTTCCAGCAAACAGATACGGAAAGAGGAAACACGATGGGGTTCTGATTGCCTCTGGCAATTCCCTGCATCCCTCTCTGTTTCTGGCCTGCTTCATTGCCATGGCGGCAAGAAACCGTCTGCTACACAAGTTTGTCTGTCCCATCGGCATACCGACCGGCCAGCAGCACACGCGGTGCTGTTACGGTGACGCTAAAGACCACCGGCAACATGCGATCAACAGCCCTCAAGCGATTCAAGCTGGAATGTTCTCTAGCTCCTGGTGAAAAGGGACGGCCACAAGAGTTTGCCTACATTTTAAATGGATGTCCGCCCCCATGGTTTTCCTTCAAAGCCCCAACAAGTACCCTCAACAAGGGAGCCCATCGTCCTTTATCCAACTCTGCCCTCTCCTCCAAGGATACCACCAAAGGCGCCGGATGCCTGCCCTGCGGCCGCCAGCACAGCGGCCTTGGCCTCAAACAAGGCATTGGACCCTGGAAATGCGAAAGACAAGCAGGAAATTGGATGCTGCTGAGCTGAAACAGGAGACATCATGACTTTGGTGAACTTGATGTGGGGGATTTAAGTCCACTAGACAAAACAAAATCGCATGGGTGCCTATGGAAACTCATAGCCAGTTGCTTGTGGCAATGTCGAAAGTCGCCATCTGGGCAGCACGCATCGGTAATTCCACCAACCTGGTAGAAGAGGGTTGAGTAGCTCATGGCGTTCCAAGGAATTCCTCCGAACCTCAGGGGGACTACTGATCCGCATCTTCACTGATCTTCGATTGACGCACTAGTGGGCATTGTTGTTGAGGGTTCCCCTTTCTGCGGGAAAACCTTCTTGAAGTCTTTTTGGGGGTCCACACCCAAATAGCTGAAGTAAATCGACTCAGGGCGTGGCCAGCCCTGGAAGATCAGCGCCTGCGAGAAGATTGGCATCTCTCGAGTCTCTCGGTGCCGTGAGGCTGTCGCGCAGAAGGTGGGCATGCGGAAGTAGCTCAGCAACTTCTTGAGCTCTTGCCTCCCGAACGGAGCAACGGGTTGCGCTGAGGCCGCATATGTTTTTGCGGGTACCCTCGTTGGGTTTTGTTCAGGGAAACGGCCTTTTTGGTTAATTCCAGTTTTTGAGACAAACCCAGAAGGGGGAACCAAAAGCGCGGATCTGGCACATGTAGCTCTTGCTTCTGTTTGGAACCCTTGAGGCTTTGACATAGAAGTCCTAGTTCGGGCCAATTCTGCTATGAAAGTCCAACTGACCCTGCGGCCCTGCGGTGCCTGAGCGCGCCTCGCTCCTGGCAAGAGAAAAACAAAACACCGGAGCCAAGTCTCTCCTTCCCGCGTCCTTGGCATGTGCGCCAGATGTTTCCCTGGGCGGCTCAGTCATGGTGCAGGCCTGGGAAAGCTCATGTTCTATTTTGGAGGGAAAGTGGGTTCCCTTCGGCTTCCCTTTAAAGGGACCCCAAGAAGGGAACCCTTAAAAGGGACACATATGTGAGTGCACTCGGCATGCCATGCGCCGGGGACCATGCTGCGAAGACGCCCACCAGCACGGACAAGAGCCCAATGCCGATAAAGGACACCCGCCATCCCTGCAGAAAGTCTTCAATTCATGTCCTCCGACAGCAGTCCCCCAACCAAAATCATGGCCTGAACAAACTTGCTGATGTTTTTGAGCTGTGTCAGGTTTAATGATCGAGCTCATCTCCTTTGGTTTGTACATGCCCACTGGCTCCACTCAGTTGAGCGGCGTGTTCAATTCAACGGACATATGCCCACTCCTGCGAAAATCATGAGACAAAAATCAAGCACATGGAACGGCAAGACATCAAGAGACTCAAAGAAAACGGGAAAAAACTGAGGGAAAGGCTGGGCTTGCTGCAAAACATGCCCTTAGAAGTTGTGTATTTGGTTGATTGCTTGGACTCGAAGCCTTGGGGTGGTCCGCTGCTTGTGTTTTTGTTGTTGCTTTTCTGTGACTTCTGTTGGGTCCCTTAGATTTCTCATTTGCTTGGCTTTCAGTTTCGTTTGATTTATGGAGGTAGCTTCTGGTTCTTAAGTTTGTTCCTTTATCTAGGATGTGTTTCTGTCTGTTGGGTTTGCTTGATTTCTCAAGGTGCTTTTTGTTGTGGCGATGTCTCTTCTTCCGTGTCCAGAGCCACTTGCATGCTACTTGTTTCTGCAAACTGAACCGCTTCCTGCAGAGCCCATGTCTACATGTCAGATGCGTGTAGTAAACCTTATGTACTGGCACTAGACTGACCGTAGCATATACAGGGCGCCCGCAGGTTGGGTATAACTATTCGCCCTGACGCTGACGACGCATTCTGACGACACATTGCTTGAAGACACATTTGTTGGCAACGCGCCATGACGACACATTGGGTGACGACACAGTACCCCCGGACGACGCACTACCCAGGTGCGACACATTGTGACGACACATTGGATGACAACACATTACCTCCTAACGGCGCATTACCCGGTGGCAACGCAGTATAACGACACATGGGGTGACGACACATTACCTCCTCAAGATGCACTACCCGGCGGCGACGCATTGCGACGACACGTTGGATGACCACACATTACCTCCTGGCGACGCATGACCCAGTTCGACGCAGTGCGACGACACATTGGGGCGACGACACATTACCTCCTGACGACGCATTATCCGGTGGCGACGCATTACGATGACACATTGGGTGACGACGCATTGCCTCCTGGCGACGCATTAAACCCGGCGGCGACGCATTGCGACGACACATTGGGTGACGACACATTACCTCCTGACGACGCATTACCCGGCGGTGACGCATTGTGACGACGCACGGGGCGACGACACATTACCTCCTGACGACGCATTTCCCGGCGGCTACGCATTGTAACGACGCAGTGGGTGACGACACACTACCTCTTGATATTCATTATATATGCTTGCGATGAAGGACATGGTCTTCTCATGGACAGGGCGGGGTGTTGCCATGGGCTTTGGCAAGAAGAAAATGGAACAAACAGGATGCGGGCTCTTCATGGACACCATTAGATTCACAGGCGAGGAAGCGGTTCAAGAGTTGGTCTCGCCGCTTGCAAAAGCAGCGGCTTTCTCAAGGAACATGGATAATAAACCCACGTGTTTGCAAACTCCTGCGCGAAGCGTCCACAAGCGACAAGTCATGGCAGGCACACTTGCACTCACCCAGCTGCAAGAAACGAGCGCTTCACTGCGGGGAAAGCAACAACAACGCGCACATGTAACGCACGCCTAGAAGCAAGCTGTGATGCATCTTGCTGTTTCCTGTCGCTTTGACTATTTCAAACACTGTGCCTTTGCTTGACCCGGCATCTAGCTAAGCTACATGTCATGGCGCTTTCCCCCACGCGTTCGTTTCAATCCTTCGGGTCCTCCTCTCGCTTCACGTCCTCCTCTTTGTTTCTCCCTTTCGTTTCACAACTCGGTCCTGGCTTGTGTTCGTCACATCTTTGCAACCGGCATATAGTCGGGGGGCATCTCGCCTTCGAGTGGGAATTCGCCTTCAAAAATGTTGTCTTCAGGCATCTTTTTTGGGCTTAGTTCGTCCTTGGAGTTCGTCTTCCGAGGGTAGTTCGCCTTCAGGTGCGAATTCGTCTTCGGACTCTTCGGGCAATTCGTCTTCGGACAATGCGTCTTCGGAATTCGTCTTCGGGTGGCAATTCGTCTTCGGGAGGCAATTCGTCTTCGGACAATTCGGGAGGTATTCGTTTCGTCTTTGGACAATTCGCCTTCGGGTGTCAATTCGTCTTCGGGTGGTAATTCGTCTTCGGACAATTCGTCTTCGTCTTCGTGAAGCAATTCGTCTTCGGGTGGGAGCTCGTCTTCGGACAATTCGTCCTCGTCTTCATGAAGTAATTCGTCTTCGGGTGGGAGTTCGTCTTCGGACAATTCGTCTTCGTCTTCGTGAAGTAATTCGTCTTCGGGTGGGAGTTCGTCTTCGGACAATTCGTCTTCGGAATTCGCCTTCAGGAAGTAATTCGTCTTCGGGTGGGAATTCGTCTTCGGACAATTCGTCTTCGGACTTCGTCTAGGGGGGTAATTCGTCTTCGGATAATTCGTCTTCGGGGAGGGTAATTCGTCTTCGCTGCTTTTACTTTTTGGGCGCACTCTAATGTTGAATTTGTCTTCGTAATTTGTCTTCGTAATTCGTCTTCGTCTGCGAGTGGAAAAGTGGTACCCGCACAGCGGCCGCAATGTATACATATATATGCGAGGAAACACTGCCAAAGACTGTGTTTTCTTAGCATTGTCTACACAATTGACCTGATCAGGTTCCCGACTTTGATCAGACCTAAGATGAAGCAGACTGCATTTTATATGGTATGTGACGAAGCAGACAGCCTGAATTGTTCAGCAAATGCGTTGTTTAGCAAATGGCTTTCTGGATGAGGCTTGTTGGCTGCTAGATTCAGCAGACTGGGCTCGTTAACGTGCTTTCAGATGAAGCAAATGGACTTTCGTACCCCATGCAACAGACAAATAGTCACCCCTCAGCTTTTGTGCTTCCATGTGGTCAAAAAGCTGTGCGGTCCCTTATGTTCAACTTTCCAGATGCAGAAAACAAGGGGCCTCTCAGCATTTTGTGCTTCCACGGACCCAAAGTGCTGAGGCCCTTAGCTTTCCAAATGCTTCAGGCAATTCTATGAAGGCAGAAATACAAGGACCTCTGAGCATGGTGATATTCGAAAAGTTTTGACAAGGTGGTTGTTTCTTCTAAATAGTATAACTATAATTCTCAGAATAAACAGGAGCTCCTTTGCAAGCAGGACTTAAAATTGGAACTTGAATAGAATCTGAGAAATATGTTTGATTCGACTTATTATTCAGAATTAGATGTTCAACTGGATGTTCAGTCCAGGTAGGATTCTAACTAGTGTTTAAAACTAATCCAAAAATGGAAGACAAGCTGTTCGCGTCTTCAAAGGTTGCCTTCCCTTTGAAAGGAATGAACAGCCTATGGAAATCCAAGGAACGTGGAGTTTCAGTTCCTGTTCATTCACAAGTGTTAAGTTACAAGGCGTTCAGTTGAAGTAGGATGTTATTAGAATTAGCATTAACATGTTCATATTGAATTTGATGTTTAACAGTTCTTTTCCATTGACTAGAATCTGAATAGAATCTAGTAAAGAAAAACAAGCTAGTTTGCTTCCTCTAATGTGCCTGCCCCTTACATGGAGCGGAAAACTCAAGGAAAGCGCAATGTCAGTTCAATTGGTTTGCAAGCTTGACAATTACAAGGGTTCAAGTTGATGGAAAACCACGAACAACATCAAAGCACGAGAAAACAAAAAACAAAAAGCATCGGTCTGAGTTTCCATGTTTTATTCAAAACAAAAACTGAGGGAAAGCAAACAAACATCTGAAGAAAAACAACAAAACGTTTGGCAAAACCAAAACTTCTCCTCAGAGTTGTGTATGTTTGTGTTTTGTTTGCCTTGTGGATGATCTTTTTCGATTTTGCTTCTTCGTCTCCACATAAACGACAAAAGTTGCTAAGAACACAGCATTTGTTGCATACAAGCAGTAGAAAATTGTAAAAACTGAGGGTGTTTGCTAACTGTTCACAATTAGCGCAATACAAATCCAAAACGGGTTCCGTGTTGCGTTTTACTTCGTTCTTATCACAAAAACCTGCAAGAACACCCGTATTTGTACATTTCTTTGAGGCACAGCAACGCAGGTAGTCATACATTGTCTAGCAAAAGTCGACGGATTCCGCCGAGCATCTGTATAAGCATATTGCGGCGAATGCTTATCCTGAGTAGAATATATGTCTCTGTGTATGCAAGAAGAGCCCCAAGCAACACAGAACTCAAATCAAATATGTGTGCTCAGGCCTTTCGGAGTGCGTACATGTGTGGCGCACAGCATCTCGGAAGCAGCATCAGACATCTCTCTGGCTGCCCATCACACGATATTATAATCGTTAGCCCTTTTCACATGAATCTGAGATTTGGAAGACATTTAGCAAGGCCAGCGGCGCTCTATCAACTTGTTCTAAGCCCTGACCCCCATGGGCTGAGCTGGGCCTGCCAGCCCAGAACTGTCTTTGTCGACAGCGGCGTGCCGATAAGGCCGCCAGCCTCATGCAATCGGTTCCCATACAAAATGAATGCGCGGCGAAGTCGTCTGAGAATTGGACCATCAGCCCAGCATTGGTGCAAAACTGAACCACGCCAAAGACCTCAGCGTGACGAGTTGCAGCGGCAGCTACAAGTCAGCGTCCGGGGAGCTCACTTTGCCCCTTCTCTGCTCCGAAGTCACATCCGCAATGACACCATTGGCAACGGGGCGAAGGGAGGCGAGCATCGCACCTGGCGCTTGCCGTGAAACAGGCTTGCCGCAAGCATCTTGGCTGCTGCTCATTCAATCATGCCAGCAGTGGCCATTGAGTGCACGCAAGAGTGTCATCCCCACCATCCTCATGTCCACCAGCATGCGGCAAGCACGCACTCTGCATCACTTGAGCTCAACACCTCCTGATGTGCAAACAAGCTTCTGATCGATTACTGAAAGAAGCATGGTGACCAGGCCCTGGAGGACGCAGCCCATGACAATAATGTTCTTCCTGGCTTCATGACGCACCCAATATATTGCAAGCCATGCTGAACTCTCTGTGGCCTTTTCATGATGCCCCTGTCGGCAATGATGCCCCAAAGCGGCGCGACAGCGGCCGTCGTCACGCCCTGAAGCCAAGGTTGGTCAACATCGCAGGTTGGTCAACATCGCAAATTCCATCGGAGAGGCACAGCCTGGATAAGGGTCATAGTGGCAAGGTCGTTCAAGTGCAGGCCCAAGTCTCGCTGAAGCGCATAGAAGACGGCCTCCGCGCTTCGCAGAATAGACAGCATGCATTGCATGCCTTCACTTCGCTCAAGTCGACTCAGGCTCGTACGGGCAAGAGTGCCATGTCTGCCCCCTCTAGTGCGCTGACAAGGCAGAGAGATGCGAGGAGAACAGGACCCTTGGAATGGCAGTTCCTTTCCTTCACGAATTTCCAACGATCTGAGGCAGGCACCGCTTCCTTGATCTCGGCCATGGTCTCTGTGAACACTGACATGATGCTAGCGTGGCTGACCTGGGCCACATTCCCAACTTGACCCACGCATCTTCCGTCATCCAGGCTGCTACCCCCGAGTGTTGTCGCGTCACGGTCTTGTCGCCCCTTTCCGCGACTCCCGTGAAGGCATCCGGAGGCGATCCTGAAGCGCACCGCTGTGCACAGCGAATCCAGCTATATCCAAGCTGAGGGCAGTGCCGGTTGTCGGCCTGGCATCGGCCTGTACGTGGCAACCATCACATGGGTGTGCCAATTCCGAGGTTTGTTTAAACGACTCTTCAGGGGAAAACACATTTGTTTATTATTTTTTTGAGGGGGAGGGTCCCGCGATTTCAATGACACACCCAACATGGGTGTAGTTCCATAGCTCGCAACACCGTTGGCTGAGACCGCAGCAGGCTCCTGGCTAGCCTTCATGACCTCACGTCTCACACAGAATGCCTTGGGTGTGGCTCAAAATAAACAGGAGGGGTTACGCAGGTTTTGGTCCATGCTTCCACTTACCACAGTTCCTTTGTGGCACCGGTTTTTGAGCCACAGCCACTTCTATTGCACCAGTTGCTCTTAGCACCAGGCGGGCTCAACCGAGGCAAGCCGTGTGCAAGCAGAATCTACTTGACTGCTGAAGCCAAAGCACCCAAGTTCCGACACAGAACCCTTGTGTCCAAAAGCATTGTGCCAAGCGAGTGTTTTTTTTGTCTTTCTCGATGACAGCTGCTTGTGGTGGCTTCAAATGCATCTGCCCACTGGAGCGTTTGCGAGGCCCTGCACTCCATACAAGGGAAGGCCCATGCTTGTCCATCACTTGCAAATTTGAAGTCAACACTCTCCCGAAGCAGTGGCAATTCTGTGGCCTTGTTGTTCTCATCCACTGCCAAATTGAAGTCCGACATGACTGGAATCTGGAGACTTTCAGCCTACGACTCCTGCTGGTGCTTGCTGGTTTGAGCAAGAGTGTGCAACCAAGGCTTCAGCTCCAAGTGTTGCAAGTCTATCCCCTGGGAGAATCTTCGAAAAAATGTATCCAGTTCATCAAAATGCGATAGCATTTTGCATTGGGAAGGAGCACTCACCATGTCAACCTTTTCCTCTTCGCATACCCGGACAGCCCACAAAGGGCCTGGTGGCAGGCTCCGATCACTGCTCCGAAGTGGACCTCATCGGCCTCCTGCGCTGACGGCGGACAGCCCTGCTGACGCAAAGCCGCAAGCCATACCCTCCAGGCGATGGAAGCTCCCGAACGGAGCCCCGAAACGGAAGACTTGGTGAGCCATTTACGGAGGCCAATTGAAGGAGCTTCCATGTTCTGAGGGAGTCTAAACTCGCCTCCCGCTGAGCAACTTCGCCTTGGTGCCAGGCTCATAAGCTCACAAGCTCTCAAGTCGCTTCGAACTCTCGCGAAATGCGCCGATCAAAAGCCTGGCAGCCTCCAAAGCAAGCAAGCGTCGGAGCAGGACCAACGCAGGCTGCCACTGGGCAGCGCTCTCGGCCGCACTCATTGCAGTGCTGAGACCTCACGGAAAACTGCCAAAGAGAGTGGGCCCAAGCACATGAGGCTAAGCACCAGAGAGATCAGCAGAATGAGAGCGACCATTTTTGCATGCACATCCAAGTAGCTGATGTGGTCTGATGTATGCAAGTAGCAAACACTGTTGAAGAGTGCCAGACTGGTAGTCCATTCGCCAGCTTTCTCGCATGCAGTCATAGCGGTGCTAAAGCTGGTCTTGTCGCTCAAGCGTTGGCGTGTCATCCACACTAATTTGTCGTATGCAAGTCGCCAGCATGCTGCGACTGAATGTATGGCACAGTTCAGCAGGTGAAGGTCGGGTTCTGACTGTGCGATATCATCGACTGCCAATGTCCAGGCCTTGGCGTTGGTGGCTGACAACAATATACTCAAGCTTTCCTGGGTCGGCTCAATGGTCAGTGTCTTCATGCTTTTCAGCGCATCGAGTGTCCATTCCCAGTTCCTGGCTTTGCCACAGCAGTCCAAACATGTGTTCAGGGCGATGGTGTTCAGCTTCACAGCCATTGCTCTTATGCTTTGCTTCAGGTGGAAGGCCAGCTGCCACAGCCCGTCTGCTGCGCAGGCGCTGATCGCGGCGCTGTGACCTAAACGTCGGCACATGACTTCGGTTCTCGACGGGGGCATGTGCCTGCAAGTTTTAAAGGGTACTCGAATTTGTGGCCAAGTAAGGCTGAGACTGATAACGTCACTTTCTACGCCCATGTGCCCGAGTAGGTGGATGGCGGCTTGCCACTCATCTGACTTTGCGCTTGCACCTATGACCTTATGTTGCCATGACACAAATCAACAAGCAGGGAAACAATCACGCAACTCCTAGCCAGGGAGCCGTGTTGAAGCTTGTGCCATCTGGCTCAATCCGATTCATCACCATGCCGGACATCATTGCCAGGGCCGGCTTCCAGTCACCGCCAGCCATGCATGTGCTCATCAGGGCATTGGCAGAGATCCGATTTGCACCCGACACATGGCGCATCTTCCACGCGAGTTGCCACCTGCCCGGTCGTCGCAGAGTGGCCAGGCTGGCCGTGATTGACACGGAGTCATGCTGGAGGCTCAGCCTGCCCATGGAGTCCTGCAAGTGCCAAGCCTCTCTCCACCTCCACTTCAGGTCTTTCATCGTCTCTGTGATCTGAAAGGTACTGATCCGCACTTGCCGCGCGGACCAGGACCTGAAGAACCCATTGGCGCTGGCCGCTCCAAGGCAGGCCAACCACGTCACAATGTCCGCTCCCTTCAGGGCAGCTGACATAGCTCTAAATTCAAGCGGGGAGCTTGGGTAATTCCATGGCTCACGTGGCACTTTGTTCTTGCAGTCAACGGTCGTATCAATCATGCAGCTTACCTGTCACACCTCCGCGCCAAGCATGGACATGCGGCGATGTGGGGTCCTTTTTTGGTTCTCTCGATCTCGATGTTTGTTGCTGTCTTGCAGCCTGGCAGTGTCCATTGCAGGCACATCAAGACAGCCAGTTCAATGGCTGTGCTTGGAAGCGCCGAGAATGTGCAACTCTTTCAGTTCATACAGTCGGCCTTCAATCCAAAACCCAGATATGAGCGCTTGGACCTTTGGAAGAAATAGAATTCGAAGAGATCTTAGCCGTATGGCCAGCAGCATGCCAATTGCGCAACAAATTGGCAGCTGTTTGTGGTGGCGTGCACGACAAAATGCACAATGCGGCTGCCAACTGAAGCTTGCGAGGCCCTGCAATCCATACGAGGGCCTTCAAACAACCAAGGACTCGTGTCCCTTGCCGTTATTGATCTGCAATATCCATCAGAACAAATCAGCAAAGTAGTAGCTAAAATGATGGAAAGGGTGCCAAGGAAACACAACAGAACCCATGCCCAGCGCTCATAATGCTTACACAGCAGTCTCTGCAGCTTCCACCGCGGGTCCAGAACATAACGTAGCCGACATGGACAGGGAATGGAAGCAGTGGAGCATCAATGGGCCAGTAGAGGCAGAAGCCGGCAATGACGACTCCCAAGTTTCCGCCTGCTCCCACCAAATGCGTGAAGCAGAACAAGCCAGCTTGAGGGACAAGAACCGCGCGCAAGTGCTGCCACAGAAGCCGATAAAGGTCACCGGTGCTTCCTGCCAGGGACCGAGCAAAGAGGTCCGTCAAGCCAAATGCTCCCGCCAAGGCCGAAGCTTGTGTCGCAGCCATGTGGAAGTAGACGAATTGACTGTTGCTCGCGAGCCCAGTAGATACTTGAAGTGACAGGGGGTCTTTCGATGCATGTCGAATATTGCATGATCATCACCACGACTCGGATATCCTGCAGGACCTCACAAAGCTGGTTTCTTTGTCTTGCCATTCAATGCCGCATCGAAATGAAAGAGCTTCATGTTCACGTCTGTGGCCGTGTTGTTCTCATCCACTTCCAACTTGAAGTCCAGACTTGCGGCCTATAATTCCTACTGTGCTTTCTGGTTAGAGCAAGAGCAAGAAAGAGTGTGCAACCAAGGCTGACGATCCAAGTGTTGCAAGTCAGTCTTCTGCCGAATATGGTACCACTCAGGGAAATATGCACTGTGTGAAGTGCATCCAGCTGTATAAGTGCTAATCCTGGAAGAATATCCAAACACTCTCTTTTGAGCAAATGCAGCAACTGGTTTCTGTATGACTCCATGCACAACTTCCGTGCGCAGCTTGCCTCATCTTGCGCCCAACTTGCAGCTCTCTTTTGAAGCAAATCATTTTATGCTACAGTGGTTGCCGCCTCAGCATACTATGCACAATTGGCTGGGGTCAGCAAGTCTGGCAACACTCAGACTGCCACATGCGACATGTGCCATTCTCAGTTCACAATTTGCTTGGCCACTTAGGTGCCACCATGTTTGAAGACCCGCCGGTCCTTAAGGACTACGATACTCTATGCTATTTTGCTCATGGCATCAAATGCAGCCTTCCAAGCACTCTCTTCAGCCTGCATCAGCTCAACAGAACATTGCAGTATTCTGCTCTGTGGCATGTGCCGGTGCCTCTTTGTGCTTGTCGCTGTTGAGCTTTGCTTGAATGGCTTCTGGTGAGTTGTTCCTTTGAAAGTTGCCGTACCTCCAATGTGACATGTCCGAAACAGAAAGCACGAGCTGCTATGCAAGATCGAACCTCCAACTAAGGCAGAGGTCACGCGGCGAGGTGCGCGTGGCTGGAGCAGTGGTGGAAGATGCGCAGCCAGCCCCCGGAGGTGTTGCAAAGACCGCAGTGGAAGCCTGGCTCAAGTGCTGAGCAATTGCTCGGTGCCATGCAAACACATGGTTGTGGGTCAAAAATAGGTACCCCGAGTGGAACCCTGGTAAGCGGAAACATAAACCAAAGCCTGCAGTTTTCCGGTGGTTAATCTTGACCCATACCCACATCAAACAGCTGAGGCTTGCACGACCTTTCGAAATGACAATGCCCTCTCGGCGCAATTGACAGCCTTGCCGTGAGTGTCGAGAGTGGAAGCGCCAGCCATGTCAATGCGCAACTCAGCCCGCCTCTCTCTCGCAGTTTTGCTACAACTGTGGTCGCCTGACCTCGACACTCAACGTGCTCCAGGGCCTGGCCGTTGCATTGCATTCCGTTTGAATCTTGACAGCCATATCGCGCCTCAACCGACTTGCGATTCAAGTGCGAGCTGAGCTCTGGCCTGATGTCAACAAAGTCACATGTGGTATGTTTGGAGTAAGTCTGCCACACGGCTCGGTCGCCTCAGTGCTGAAGTCACATTTCCTACCTACAAAGAAGGACTATGTTTTCCGAGGATGCAACAGTAAGCACACCAAAGAGTGCCGTCTGCCTCAGGCAACGCAAGCAGTGGTAACAGCCAATTGGTTGGCATGCACTGGCAAACGCACACACACACAACATGTTTGTATATTTTCCAGGAAATGTGTGTGTGTGTGTATCAGTGGGTGGGTGCGTGCTTTGCATGCCCAGCGCATTCCATGCGTGCCCTGCCTGGGCAGCAATCCCCTCGCCTTTGAGGGCCTGCCCGCTCAGTGCATCAAAGACCTGCGGTCGGCAGCAGGTAGGTCTTAGGTCGATGTCGGCAGCAGATGTGCAATTCTATTCGTGTCGGAAACAAAATGCTGCTTCCACACAATGCGGACTGCCCACAAAACCCAGCTTTACTCGTCTGGTCCTTGAGTGAAGAACCAACTGAATGGGGCATCAAGCTACAGCAGGCCTCCGGTGGGGTGGTCTCGGACAGCTTCAAGGTGGACGGGCGCGGCCTTGAAATGCCGTCAGTCGGCAAGCGCCGGGGTGTGCCGATGAGGTCTGAACCAAGGAAAGTCCTCTCCCGGTTGGACAGGCAGTCGGTGCTTCCACTGCATAGTTGACCACCTGAGACCGCTTTGGTGCACTGCAAAAAGCGGCTTTTGGTTGTCGCTGCGCGAAATGATCGGCCCGAACGTTGCGCTTTGCTTTCTTTTGCTGGAACTCAGCTCGGTTTCTCCGCTTGTCTTGCCCTGCAAACATCACGGATGCTTTGCTCGTGAGCCTGAGAAGCGCGCCGCGGCTCGGGCAGGCCAGCATGGGTCAGGGTTCGATCCAAGTCCTGCAGATGTCACATGCCTTCGGCGCCTTCGGAGACCGCCAACATCGGGGTCCTGCTGCACGTGCGCCAGCCGCGTCGCGGGCGCTGAGGGTCCAAGCGCCAAGTGCCAGAAAGCACACGCAGCTGCCTGGAGAAGCGGCAGCCAGGAATGTTTCGCATGCAGCCACAGGCCTTGGGCTTCGTCTCGTCTTCCTGTAGGTCCTCAGTGCCCAGTCGCGCTCGCGCAGGTGGCTGGGCCATTGCGCAAGGGCCAGGCCTGCGCTGTGCGCCGAATCTCGGAAAGCCAAACCTGGAGGCAAGCGGAAACCCCGAGGTTTCCGCCTGGAGTCAGAGGACTTCAACTCCTTGTTTGGGGCTTCTTGGCACCCGGAAAGCCCCAATGTTTGCACTGAACTTTCTGCCTGTGCTAGGGCAGAATTCTCCTTGGCCGATAGCATCACCAGGCTGGAATCCAAGAACCTGGGAGATCACAAATTGACCGCTGCAGATGGGCTTCCCTGACTCAGGGTTGAAAGCTCCGAGTGGTAAACTGCCACGACGCCTCGCCATATTGCTTAATCCGAAGGGCGTTGACTGCACGCGCAGGTCGCGCTCCAGGTCAGTCAAGCCTGGAGCGAAAGGGAGGTCTGGTTAAACCAATTCAAGACCAAGGCCAGCGCGGTGATGAATGGCCCCCCAGACCCTGACGTTTTCGGCATGGCCAGCGCTGGCAAAGTGCTCCAAGCCTCAGATCCAAGCGCTCAAAACGTTCAAAGGCTGAGGAATGCAAAGCTCAGCAGCCAGCCACGACCCTTGCACAGCAAGCACAAGGGGTGACCTCTGCAGGTCAAGTCTAGATGGACATTGTGTTTCGGATTTCGCATCAGTGACCTACGCACGCCGTTGCCGTCGCTGCGCCTCTGAAGTCCAACTCGACATAGGGCACACTGCCGCTATGAGGCTTCCCCCTGGGCATGTCTCAGCTGAACGACAAGCCGAATTCGGAAGTCGCCTGTCAAAGTTCTCAAGCAGATTGGGCACGTCTGGCTGCACGTCCTCAAGCAAAAAGGCGCATGTCGATCAAAGTCGCAGCCCCCAAGAATATTTGTTGCGTGCCCCAACGTTGTGCGTGCCCCAACGCTGGACCTTACCAGCCCCCTATTCGCAATTTGATAAACGTGCCCCATGTCATCCCCTTAACAGCTTGGGCTCTTCTCTGGTGTAAAACCGGACCACTAAAGGTCACATGTTGGGGTACTGGGTGTCAGCCAAGCTGCAGGAGCTGCTTCTGGGTATCGCCACTGCGCGCGGGTGCTCCCGACTCGGCAGTAGTAGAACAAGCCTTGGCCGCACTTTGTAAGGGCAAACCGAGTGCTTGCTTGCTTCCCTTTTCCAAAAAAGAGAGACAGGCCCTTGCCCATCAGCTTCCCGAGTTCCGCACCAACGCTGCGGGAGAAGACCATCTCCTGCCAAACCAACGGCTCGTTCCCCCCAGACATGGCCATGGATCAAAATCCAAATCGTAAACCCAGTGAACATCCGATTCAACCCCCACTAAAATCGGTTCTAAAATGGGCGGTGAATTCACCTACCAACCAAAATGGGATCCCAAAACGGTTTTGACAGCCACACCTCTGGGCCCCTCTCAGCTTGGGCGCCCCTCTGGGCGACCCTCTGGGCGACCCTCTCGACCCTCTGGGCGACCCTCTGGGCCCCTCTGGGCCCCCGGCCCAGCCAGCGGGCGGCTGACTCCGGGGCCGCAGCGCCGTCAGGGCGCCGCCCCTGTACCATGCCTCCGAGAGCCTCTCCGCGAAGTGGGTGGGCAGCCCATAGGCAGCATCCGCCTCGGGGATGCGTCAGAAAAGGACCCGCAAAACAATGGGCTTGTGTCTGGTGGATTTAAATTCAAATAAATGTCGGTGTTGTCTGTGGCGCCACAAATGTGGACAAACTAAAGCTGTGCCAAGTGCCTGCACTGCCTCTCCCGCTTGAAGTGCTTTGAGAACACCTGGGACACTTGATGAATGCTCCGCGAGCATCTGAGCAACGGTCAATATTCACCATCCACTGTACTATAGGCACCAAAAAAATCCATGAGAACCAAAATCCCATGTCAGTTCAGGACACACTAAATATTGAGCATGGCTTTAATCTGAGCTGCAAAAAAAAAACTGGCCTCAAAACGCTGAGGCAACGGCCCCGTTGAGACAGAAGGTCCATGCAGGTCTCGATCCTTCGCCCGTGCCAAATGCCACGCTCCAAGCTTTAGTGTCGCAATCCAAGCACGCCTTTGCTTCTTCAGCCAAGACCGCACAACTGCATGGAAGGCGGGCTCAGAGCAGAATTGTAGAATTGCTGCCTGGTCAAGCTGGCGAGGCTCCACATCAAGGCCACAACCTGAATGGCATGCCGGCTGACTTCCATTCTGTTTTTGTCCGAAAATCAGCACACTCAAAAGGTGCCATATCCTGTACCTTGAAGCAGGTGCCACAAGCCAAGAACTGTACAATTAAGTCATAATCGGTGCTGCACAATGCGGGCCCCAATCAGCTCAGTCGGACATGGTGAGACTTGCAAATCTGACCAGCATCTGGGAGACCCTTCATGGAAAGATCAGGGGCCGGATGACACGATCACCTGCGCCCATCCGGGAAATCTTCGCCACCGGGGAAATCGGCCACCCGCCTTGGCAGGTCGGAGGACTGCACCCGAGTCGCCATACTCAAAGCCCTCCTCCAGCTGCTCGACCACCACATCCGGGCCATACTCGCAGCGCGTACACATATTTACACATGTGAGCCACGCTCAATATGCATTGTGTCCCCTTATGACATGGGAATTTGGTGAGAAAACCCCCATTGTTTAAGGTATCTTGACTACAGTAGATGACAGTAAGTATTGACCGATGCTCGCAGACACACACACACACACACACACACACACACACACACACACCAAAGAAGAACACGCAAACACACACGCACGCACGCACGAACGCACATACTCACTCATTCCTCCCTAGCTCCCTCCCTCCCTCCCTTCCTCACTACTCGAACACTCGCTCCCTCGCTCACTCGCTCACTCAAAGCAGTTTCTCAAGCACTTCACAAGCACCCATGGCCAGCCTCATCTTCTTCCCGCAGGGAAATTGCTTCATGGATTTCAGGATTGAACACCTCCACAGTTCATGAGGCCAGCACGAATACACGCACACACAAAGCAATGCACCATGGCACTCACCAACCCCATGGCCTCGCCAACTGCGTTCGGCAGTGGTCTGACGTTGAACTCCGATTGGAGAACTCCCTTGATGCACAAAAACCAAACGATGTTAACGCATGCCAGGAGTATCACTCACCAATTCTCTTGGCAAGCCGCAACCAGCCGTTTCCGCAGCGGTCGCAATATTTGATCAGTGCCCTCTGCAGACAGTCCTGAAAATGCTCTCCGGAGAAGATGGGTACGTGCAAAAATACTGGGGACCCCAAAAGTTGTGTGCTTTCCTGTTGGTCTCCCTTTTCAACCATGAAAAGGGGTGCCTTCAAACACCCAAGCAGCAGTCCTTTCGCCGTTGCAGCCAGTCGTGCTCGCTGCACGTCATCCAGCACTGCCAGCAGCGGCTTGGCAGCTTTTGCCAAGGCGCGCTCCTCCAGCGATTTCGCCTCGTTCTCAACGCGGGACTTGAAGTTTCCTCAGCAGCAACCCACACAGGACTGCTAGCCTTCCAAAAAAAAAAAAGATTCACGCAAGTGGAAGAGCAACAGCATCGACAGCAGCATAAATGTTGCTAATTTTTGACAGACTACTGACACCACATGCGTGACACTTCTGCCACTGGCACAGCACCAACAAGAGCACCACTGTGCACGTGCCAGAATCGTCCGTGCCAGAAACACCAATTGCACAACTGAGCTGCATCCATTACCAGCATTGACTGCATTACCAGCATCATCACCATTATCAGTACCAACAGAATCAGCATTGCCATTGCCAGAATTATTTGGAGCGCATGGCCTGGAAATACAAGGAATCACCACCAGCATCACTTGCATCACCCACACTATCTGTGCCAGCTGCAGTTCCACCATAACCTGACGTGATCTGCATTATCTGCATCTACAACAGAAACAACAAAAAGCAATGCCACTTCTCAGTCAACTAGACAACACCCCCCCCATCATCCTCTCGCCAGTGTTCATGACACTTGCTTGCTGTGCGTGTGCTCTTGTGTTGCAGCCATAGCCCCGTGAACCTGTCTGTGCATTCAAGTGGCGGAACTCCTCTGTTTGTTGAGAGAGCTGCTTCTCCTCAGCGCAGCACAGCACGAGGAATGGAGGGCAGCAAGGCACTCTTGCTGCCATGCGTCGGCAGCACGTAAGGCTGAAAGCAGCTTCTTGTCCACTTTGGGCTTGGCATCGCCTCAGTACAACAGGACGGAGTGAGTGACACGTAAGGGCAAGTGAGGAGCTCGCTATTAACGGCTTTGTGAAGCGCTTTCGCTTCTTTTGCCAAGCTCTCGCGTTCTTCTGCGATGTCCTGCTACATGCTAGCTTCCAATTCTTGCCATGGTCCAAGTTGGGATCTTTGGTCCGAAGAAGAACACATCCACAAATGCTCTTGCCAGCACATCCTTAACGTTCCGCGCAGACGACAGTCCTCAGCTTCAGCTTGAATTCGGCGCCGCTGCTTCTCCAAAGCGGCCCGCTCTCGCTGAATAGCTTCAGCCTCCCACAAGCAAAGGCGAGAAAAGGGCGTGCCAGAATCAATGGCTTGCGTCAAGACAAAGCACAGCAATGCGAGCCGAAACCCAATGATAGCCAAGCAAAATCTGAAAAAAATGCGTTTCCAGCTTTACGTTCCAAAACCCCGAAACAAAAACCTGTTGGCATTGGCTAAAGACCTACAGCGTCTTCCCCACCTGTTTGTGTCTTTCTTGCAGGGACCCCCAAAATGGTTTTCCCCTTGGTTTCCCACACAAAACAACTTCCTTAAAAAAAGACAGCGACGCACCCAGAAGCCGCGCCTCTGCTTCCAAGGCTTGTGCCTTCACTCGAAGCTCGGCCAGCTCCTGGCCTGCAAAGCCGAGGCCATGGTGGGGGCCAAGCGGTAGCCGCAAAAAAGAGAGGCCCTTTGGGTATCCCGCCCTCGAAAACCCAAGGCAGCACCGAATTCCAACAACCCACACTTTGGCCAATTGCACGACCCTTCTGCATAACGACGACTCGTCCGTTGCACTGAGCGTGCCTCTGTTCCTGCCCATGGCGAGCTGCTGCCGAGCCGCTTGTATGGCCTCTGACGTAAGGCAAGCACAAGCACAAGCACGGCGAGGATTCTCACAGCAGCACGCAGCCCTTCTGCTCTGCCGGCCTCTGCTTGCTTTTGCAGCCTTTCACGCTCTTTTACGAGCGCTGCCTTCATCCAATCAAATAGGCCGGTCTCTCAAGTTCAAGCACCTTCTCTTTGTTGACAGCCGCGATGAGTTCCTCGCTGTCATTGCGAGAGGGGCCAGACCTTATGGCAGAAATGCATTCACATACATACACATGTATGCATACATACACATATACATACATGTATGTACAGCCGTCTCCAACGTTTAGGAGCCACCTTCCACGGCGTGCTAATGTGATTTGCAACAAAAAGAAGATCTGCCGAAGCACGGTGTTGAGCATGAGTCCCCCAACATGGTACGCACTTGGACGTGAATATGGTCCTTTCGGTTGTGTTGATTCCCCTAGAGCGCGGGTGGTTGCCTAACTAATCCATAACCCTCAGCCTAAAATGACAACCAACATCCTGACCCTGACCTCAAACCGTCAGGCTCCAAAAATCTGAGCCTGAACCTAAGCTCAACCCAAACCCTAAGCCGAAACCTTCCGCCTGCCTTGAGTGATTGCAACAAACCTCGCACCTCACCCGAATCAACTCTGAAGCCTAAACCGTCAAACCAAAAACCTTTGCTGGGCTTTGTGGGCAAGCTTCTAGCGTATGACGCGCTACACCGCGTAACATCACACTAGCATCACAATACATTTACAGCACAATGCTTGTTTCCGTCACGATCTACCATGGCTGCATTGCATTGCATGGCTCTGCACCGCAATGCATTGCCTGGGCATGGCATTGCATTACATCACACTGCACTCCAGTACAATACATACCTGCTCTATGTACTTACTTAACATAACATAACATAACTCCGAAGCTTCAGATTGGGTTCCAGACGCATTCTCTGCCAGTCTCATCAAATTCTGCTGCTTGTCTGCCAGGACCTCTCCAGAGGTTCGTGGCACGAGAAACGAATCGGACTCCCGACTCACAGGGCCTGACAAGCCAACTCGCGAATTCGCATCTTGGCTCTCACGTTTCCACGTTTCCGCGTCGCGGGCACCGTCCACCCCAAAGGCCCCTCCAGTACTCCCCTCCGATACGGTTCCTTCAATTGGCACCCCTGCGATCTAGATTTCCCTGAGGTGGGCCAGGCCTAACCCCATTCTTACAGGTCGTGCACCTCTCTCTCTCTCACACGCTCTCCCCCGGTTGTCTCAAAACAGGGACCCCCAAAACTGGATGCTTCCCCAAAAGGATACCCTCAAAACAAGACACCCCCTGCAGATTCCATGTTTGGCTTACAACTTGATGGAAGGGAGCCGGATTCCTGATTTTGAATTCAGGCCAAAGCTTTGGACACTGGTGGAGATGTCCACCAATCTTTTCGATTGAATTCCCGAAAAGAAATTGCCAACCCACAAAGACAACCTCTAAAGTTAAATCCTTGACAAATTGAATGGAAGCCATTGGACCGATTCATTGCACCCATGTCATTCTGTCGCTTTTCTAGAGGACCCACGGATTTCGGTGTTGGTTTCCCTTTACCAAACAAAACAGTGGGGGTTCCCACAAAAAAAAAGACACCTCCACCCACCTACCCACCTACACCTACCCAAGAGGACCCCCCAGTTGGATAAAATCCCCTCAACCGACCAATTCACATAATATTTTTTCATCAATTCATAACAGAACCTCAACTCAAGATTTGATACATAAATTTTGTAAATATTTTTCTAAATTCCCAAAATATATTTTTCCAAAATCCCAAATTCCCAAAATATTTTTCCAAAATCCCAAAATCCCAAATATATTTTTCTAAATTCCCAAAATATATTTTTCCAAAATCCCAAAATATAAAATCCCCATAATTTCAAAACATAAATCTTACAATGTTTTTTCTTATTGTAAGGTTTATGGGTTAATTTACTAGTCATAAACCCTGCCCACCATTTTCGGGGCACCCTGGCCGCCACTTTTCGGCCACCCTGACCGCCACTTTTCGGCCACCCTGACCGCCACTTTTCGGCCACCCTGACCGCCACTTTTCGGGCCGCCACTTTTCGGGCCTGCCTGACCGCCACTTTTCGGCCACCCTGACGGCCACCCTGACCGCCACCCTGACCGCCACTTTTCGGCCACCCTGACCGCCACTTTTCGGCCACCCTGACCGCCACTTTTCGGTCACCACTTTTGGCCGCCTGACCGCCACTTTTCGGCCACCCTGACCGCCACTTTTCGGTCACCCTGGCCGCCTCGCCGCCACTTTTCGGTCACCCTGGCCGCCTGGCCGCCACTTTTCGGCCACCCTGACCGCCACTTTTCGGCCACCCTGACCGCCACTTTTCGGCCACCCTGACCGCCACTTTTCGGCCACCCTGACCGCCACTTTTCGGCCAGCCTGACCGCCACTTTTCGGCCAGCCTGACCGCCATTTTGCGGGCATCATTAAATCCAAGCGACTTTGCTATGGTTCCTACACTTCCAGTTCCACTAAATAATTCTAATAAATTCATATTGTTTATTAGAATGATTTAGACAATGTTTTAGAAATACACATATTTATCATCTTCCTTACTAATCTTATAGTATTCTAATGTTTGTTCTTTTGGACTTTTGATTTGTCCCTTATTTAACATATCACAATATGTTTTACGCTTCGTGTCATAATCACCGCTGGGTCTGCCTATCCCTTTCTTTTCAAAGATCTTATCAATCTTTTCCTTCTCTTCATTGTTATCTTTTGGTTCGTTTGCCTTTGCATCAAGTTTCTGGTCAATAGTTTTTATCATCTCGTGCAACAGTTTAACATTTTTACTAACTGTCATTATCTTCCTTGATAGTTCAGCAATAGCATCATTCTCAACTTCAGACATTTCTATATATATATATATTTATATAATTATTATTTAAATATTTATTTATGCGTTTTATTATACAGTTTACCTAAATAATATAATGTTACATATGTAAATAAATTATATTCTAACAGTCTTTCACCAATTTTATTGTTCATTTTTATTAAACCTTCCTCGTCACCTGTAATTTCAAAAAACATCAATATTTTATCAAATTTATCCGGTTTAGTTATACCTTTCATAAAATATTTATCATTGAATTTAGCATCAAACCAATAAAAATATTCTTCGCTCAATTGTTTAGCAAAGTTTTCATCACCATTAAATAGGTCTTTAATTTCTTCATCGTCAAAAGTTATAACTCTATGGTCTTCTCTATTCATAGTTGGCATTATGATTATACAAATAATTAGATATTTATTTATTTACTTATTTATTTATGAAATTGATTTAATGTAAAATCTACTCTTTAAATACTAATTTATCCCCATTTTGTATTATAGTTGTGTTCCCAAGTTTCTTCGCGTGAGTTTCCGTTGGTTTCTTTGGTTTTCATTGTATGAATTATTTTTATCAATCTTCCACATTTACACGGCAGGCACTTAATGTCAGCACCGTCTTTATCAACTTTGATTTCATTAGCGCGATTGTCTTGTCCTGTTTGTTCTACATACTGATAGTCGCTATAATCATAATTTTCCATTGCTGTTAGTCTGTCTTCAATCGTTTTTATATTTTCGTCCATTGCTTTACTAATTTCTTTCTGTGTTTCTTGGTGATTTTCTATTAATTCACTCATCTGTTCTTGTTTTCCTTTTTGTTCTTTTAGTGTCTTTTCAATTTTATCTTGTCCTTTTTTCTGGTCCTGCATTAATTTAACTATTCTATTTTCTTCTTGCATTTGGTCATTAATTTTGCTTTTGACCATTTATATTAATATTTACATTTTTATTTTTGATATATTGTATTCCTAATTTTACTAATTCTAATGAACAATTGTTTAAATAATGTAAAATCTACTCTTTAAATACTATGTTATTACCCTATTAAAACTAACATTGACTAAATGGTCATTTGTTTCTATTGTCATATCTCCGTCCTTCTTCTTCACTACACTCATTTCTTGGTCTTTCTTTTTGACTGATAACATACACGGAATACATTTAATATTAACACCGCCTTTTTTATCTACTATTAATTCATTTTGAAAGTTCATAATATGATTACATTTATCACATTTTATTTCTTTACTCACACCTAATGATTTAACACTTACTGTTGTGTCTTTCCGAGCTTCAATATCTGGCATTGGTCTTTCATTATCTAATATTGAATTTGATTTACTCTTTTTCTTTCTTGGCATTTATATTAATATTTACATTTTTATTTTTGATATATTGCATTCCTAATTTTATTAATTCTAATGTATAAAAGCATACTTTCTTACATCTGTTGTCAGTTATTATTACTTGCTCTATATTCTCTACTTCATCTATTATATCAATATAATCTGAATAACTTCTATCCATATTAAATAATAAGATGAAATAATTATTAAAAATAATTATTTGATCTTATTAATTTCATGCATAATAGAATATTGGTGGGGCACAGCACTTGGGGTTTTCATTGCACACGCGAGCGAGACACAAAACTAATTATCTTCAATGCTTATTGATTGAAGCAATGGAAAACCTGTTCCATTATGTTATTTACCGCCACTCATAACATAACGATGTTCCATTTAATATTAATTATAAATAATTTTCTAAATATCTTTAATATTATTTTATTATGCCTGATGTAAAACCAATTGACGAAATCAAATATGACTTTAAGCAAAGCAAGCACGAGGTCGTCCCTAAATTGCCGATGAGAGCTATGATTGTAGGGCCGTCAGGCTCTGGCAAATCGACGCTACTTGTATCAATGATACTTGATATTTATAGAGGTGCGTTTGAAAGAATTTTTATCTGGTCCCCATCAGTAAATTTAGATAGCATTTGGTTGCCTGTTAAAAAATACATTAAGGAAGGTTTGAAAGTAGATAATGATAAAGAACCGTGTTGGTGGGATGAGTTCAATGTTGAAGATTTAGAAAGAGTTATAGAAACTCAAAATAAAATAATTGAATACCAGAAAAAACAAGGAACGAAGAAATTATTTAATATATTGGTAATTTTGGATGATGTATCTGATAATCCAGCAATAACAAGAAATAACAAATTGTTAAATTCTTTATTCTGTAGGGGACGTCATAGTGGAATATCAACGCTTGTCAGTCTTCAAAAATCATCAACCGTGCCACCAATTATTAGAGTAAATATAAGTCATTTGTTTTATTATAAAGTTAGAAACTACAAAGAAATTGAAATATTGCAAGATGAATTATCAGCAATTGTTAGAAGCGATAATTTACACGAAAGCAAGAAATTAATTTATAAAATATATGAAACTGCCACTGATGAACCGCATAGTTTTTTATATATTAACCTGTTAGAAAAGAACCCAGATAAAATGTTTATGAAACACTTTTCACAATATTTGAAAATAACTAATCAATAATGTTTAAAGAATAAATCTTATATAATCTTATACAATGCCAAAAAAGGTTATGGACTATTCTAATACTCATTTTTATAAAATTGTTTGTAAAGACTTAAATATCAAAGATTGCTATGTCGGAAGCACATTAAATTTTGTCAAGCGACGATGTCAGCATAAGTTTTCTTGTCTTCATCCAACTGATAAACATCATAACACGCCTGTGTATGAATTCATCAGAAACAATGGAAGTTGGGAGAATTGGGAAATGATACTTATTAATACGGAGTGTGTTGCTAATTCCATAGAAGCAACACAACGAGAAAGACACTACAAAGAATTACTCAACGCTACTCTAAACTCACAAATCCCATCAAGAACAAGGCAGGAATGGGTGGATACAAACAAGACTGTCATAAGTCAAAAGCAAAAAGAATATCGGGAATTGTATTCGGACACAATCAAGAATAAGAAAAAACAACATTATGAACAAAATAAAGAAAACATACTGAAAAAATGCAAAAAGTATCGTGAGGAACACA